CTGCCGGCTGCCGGCCGCCACCCTGGGCCTTGGTGTGGTGGCCCTTCGCATGTGCTGGTGGCTGTGTGGGACGCCATGGTCCTGAGCCTCTCTCCCCGGTGCTTCTGCAGCTCTTCGGTGGCCCCTCCACCTGAGTCCTCCCTGCCCTGGTGAGCAGCCGGGAGGGTCACGCAGTCCCCCTCTCCACAGGGCCCACTGCTGCGCTGGCTCAAGGTGAACTTCAGCGAGGCCTTCATCGCCTGGATCCACATCAAGGCCCTCAGGGTGTTCGTGGAGTCTGTGCTCAGGTGCGGGAGGGGTGTCCGCCGGGTGGGCTGGGACCTCCTTCCTGCTTGGCTCCTGTTTCTTTCCTTTTTTTTTTTTTGGTACCAGAGATTAAACTCGGGCCCTTGTGCTTGTGAGGCCGGCACCAGAACCACTGAGCTACATCCCTGGCCCTTGGCTCCTGTTTCTGCGGCTCCAGGTCTCCCTGGCTCGTGGGTTAGACACCAGCCTGGTGGCACCTGCCTGCGATCCCGGCTCTCTGGGAGGCTGAGGCAGGAGGTTTACAAGTTTGAGACCAGGGAGAGGTGGCAGTGTCCCAGCCAGGCATTAGTTCCCAGTGTGGTGCAGGCACGGTGGCGATGTCGGGACCTCTGGAAAGGAGGAGACAGGACCCAGCCCCCCAGGTGGCCGCCGAGATCAGGGAGCAGCTGGGGAGCAGCTGCTGCCCCACGGAGTCTCTTCCCGGGTGTAACAGAGGTCCTGGTTGGCCCCCGGGTGGTCAGCAGTGACTGGTGGGTGGCCAGCCTGTGCTGGGGGTTGCATGGGGAAGTTAGGGCACCGCCCCTGTCCCCAAGCCCGGCCTGGGCTGCCACGTGGGATGGCTGCATGGTGTCCTAAGGGTCCAGGGTGTCAAGGAGAGCCCCATACCAAGGGGAACAGAAGGTGGGGGCAGTCGGGCCCCTCCCCTCCCTGGGAACCATCCTGTGTACCCCATGTGGCTTATGCTCTGTGCACCTGCGGTCACCCCACGTTCACTGCCCCCGCCTTTGCTGATCTCACGGGAAACTGTGTCCCTGGGATTCTTTGCATGCAGTGAGTGGGGAGGTTTTGGAGTCAGGGTCAATTGTGGATCAGGTGCCCAGGACTCAATGGCCATGGTAAAGCCAGACTTACTCCCCGCAACCCATTTTTTGAGATAAAGTCTCACTATATAGCCCAAGCTGGCCTTGAACTCAGCGATCCTCCTGCCTCAGCCTCCCAAGTGCTGGGATTACAGGCGTGTACCACCACGCCCTGCATTGTTCCTTGCAGAGAACAGCAGAGCTGGGTCTGCCATGACTTGCGATTGCCAAATTCAGTCCCACTGCCTCTCTCCAGCATTAATGCTCCCGGTGGAATGGTCGTTAGTGGCCCAGGGGTGACCTCTCTGTCTTGGTCACGGCTGTCACCACCAGCAGGGTCAGCCTGTTCCATCCAGACAGAACTGGTCATTAGTCTCACCTGTGACCTTGGCATTTTGCCTGAGTTTTTCTTTTCTTATTCCTGTACCGGGGATTGAACCCAAGGCTTCTGCAGAGCTGCACCCCTAGCTCTTTTAAAATTTTTAAAGACGCTGAGAAAGGGTCTTCTAAGTTGCTGCATAGGCTGGGCTTGAGTTTAGGATCCTCCTGCTGGCACAACAGGGTGCGCATCACCCCCGCTTGCGTTCCCTTCCTTAGAGCTTCCCTTTTCCACCTCCTGCTCCTCACTGTCCGTCCGGCAGGTACGGGCTGCCGGTGAACTTCCAGGCCGTGCTCCTGCAGCCCCACAAGAAGTCCGCCACCAAACGCTTGAGGGAGGTGCTGAACTCAGTCTTCCGGCATCTGGACGAGGTGGCAGCCGCGAGTATTCTGGATGTAGGTGCAATGCTGTGTGGCCAGCTTCCCTCACACATAGAAAGCACTGGCCGGCCTGCTGGGAAAGCCCACCCATCCCCACACGGGCCAAGGGTGCGGCAGGAAACCCGTGTCTCCTCCCGCAGGCAGCGGTGGAGATCCCGGGGCTGCAGCTCGGCAGCCAGGACTACTTCCCCTACGTGTACTTCCGCATCGACCTCAGCCTCCTGGACTAGGGCCCTGAAGTCCTGCGGCATCTCCAGGACGGAGACCTCACGGGAGTTGGTGTATTTATTTTCTAAGTTCTAATAAAATGCTCGGTCTTCTGAGCCGTGGCCTCTGTTCTAACAGATCCGACATGGCGCTGTCCTGAGGTCCCACGTGTGAGCCGCCTGTGTCCCTGGCGCTGTACGGACACCGAGCACTTGGGTGTCCTCCCTTGGGAGTGGCCACTGCACTGCCCGAGACAGTCCAGGACCCGGGCCGGGGACCTCAGGACCCCCGCGGGCTGCCACGGCCCACACGGTGGCCTCTGGACGGTGTAGGTCTCATGGGAGGGTGAAGACAGCAACTTGAGAGCCAGGGTTCAGATGTAATTTACTGGCTCAAGGTCAGACTTTGATGTGGGCACTAATTTCATGTTTATCGGCACTGTCCAAAATATTGTTTTATTTTTTAATGGAAAAAGCCATTGATATTCAAATGGAGGAATCACATTTTAAAAACCCTACATGTAAGAAACAGCCTCCGGAACATTCAAGCAGCTTTCAGTCAGAGGGAGGGAAAACCGTTTCAATAGCCTGGTTTTCTTCAAATTATGTGCAGAGCACAGCCGACCCACTGCTACAAGTCACAGTTTTCAGTGTTTTGAGACGGAGGTGGAGATGCAGGCACAGTGCCTTCCAGGCCCGCCGGTCTGGGGCGAAGGCTCGGCAGCCTCGCGGCCAAGGGTGCTGCTCGCTCCCAGGAAGGAGCCGGCGGCGCTCATAATTCGTCCTTCTCCAGGTCGTCCAGCTCCACGTCGCTCAGGTCGATGTCATCTTCCACAGGTAGCTGTGGGACCGAAGCCACCATCAGAGGACGCCAGAGGCCACGAGTCTCCTTTCAGATGGCACCCAGCCCACCAGCCACCCCTCCCCATCCTGGCCCCTGCTGTGCCCTGGGACCTGTTACCCATGTGGGAAAGCCCAGGTCCCGAGTGCTGCGTGGCTTTTTGGGTTATTTCTTTAGTTTTCTGAGACACTGCGTAGCCTGGCCTGGCAGTCACGGTGATCCTCCTGCCTTAGCCTCCCAAATAATGAGATTACAGGTGTGCACCACCATGCCTGGCAGAAATTCTGATTTGAAATCTAGTTTCATGTTCCTTGGAGACAAAGTAAATGGACTTTGGGTCGAGGCTCAGTGGAGGGGGAGCAACTGGACAGTGACATCACCAGTGACCTGAACTGGACGCCTGCCTAAAAATCGAATGCGGCACTTCTCAGGTGACGAAGATGACACAGGAGCCGGTCAGGTCCAGCTCTGGGGGACCTGACCTCAGGCCTGGGCACTCACCTCACCGTCCTTGCCGTCCCAGGGCTCCCTCGTAGCAATGGTGGGAAAGGTGCCACCACCCACTGGTGCTGTGGAGCCACGCCCGAAAGACAGCTCCCTGGGGAGACAGCACGACAGCGTGTCAGCAGGAACACAGGGACAAAGAGGAGGAGGACCTGGTGTGGATGTGGGGGTCTCTCGGGGAGGTGCTTGGGCCTCATATCCCTTCAGCCTGGGCACCAACGAGCTGTGTACCTGTTCTGAGAAGTGGTCTCACTAAAGCATTAAGGGACCCAGGCTAGGCTCCAACTTGCCACCCTCCTGCCTCAGCCTCCCAGAGTACTGAGATTACAGGCATTCACCACCACAGCTGGCCTACCGCCTGGCTTTACACACCTAGCTTCAAACCAAAAATCACAACAGAACCAGACAGATACTGCGCTGACCACTGACAGCGCAGATTACCTGAGGAACTCGTTAATGCCCTGCTCGCTGAAGGAGCCCTTGAGCAGCGCGAACTTCATCTTGCGTGCATTGATGGCAGCCATGGCCGGGTAGCCAAACCCTCCGATGCCCAGCGCGTTCTCCAGCTCGGGCTGGGCAGCTGCCTCTGTCCACAGCCACCTGCGAAGGAGATGCCATCAGGACAAAGGTGTCGAAGATGCATCCAGAGAGCAGATCTCACAAAATCCCCAGAACAGGCCGCTCGATTCCTAAGACAGCTTCATCCTTGGACCCCAAGACAGTGCCCACTGCATGAATTATTCCCGGGCTTAGCCTAGGGCCCTGGCACCTGCTGGTTTACTGCCCACTCGTGCATCTCGCAGGCACGGCAGACGGCTATGCAATCACCGGCCAAGGTCACCGAGGACAGAAATCAGCAGGTCTGAGGAGCAAGATGAGCCGGAAGGGGTCAGTCCAGGGCCCCGATCTCCTTTCTCCAGCTACCGAGGCAGCAGGGTCTCAAGTCAGCTCACTGAGCGCTTGCTGGCCTGCTGGCCTGCAGCCTGCAATGCCCCACCCTGTCTGTCCCAGGGACAGGGCCTCCAAGTGGGGCCTGGCAGGGGGTGGCAGGCACTGTGCATGGTCTTCCTGCCCGTCTGGTGCCCAGACGAGCGCCTCTGCTCACACGGCCTGGCTTCCACCAACATGCTGCCGCTTTGGGGTAGCTACAGTAACTCTTCCTTTAAGATGCTTTTTCTGGGTACTGGGTCATAGTGGTAAATGCCTAACACAAACCCCGGATGCCGTGAAAACTGGGATTCCTGAGAAGGTGTGCTGCGGAAGACGCTGCTACTGTGTAGTTAGACATCCCCAAGCCTCACGTTCAGAGCTGTGGTTCTGGGAGGTGACTGGGCCACGGGACATGGGAGAACTCACAGCTCAATGTGCCGTAGGAGCTGGGGCCTGGGTGCTGGGAGTCACTGGGCCGTGACCCACAAGTGTGTGTTTATTTTATTTTTGGTTGAGCCAGGGTCTTGCTATGTAGCCCAGGCCGGCCTTGAATTCACTGTGTAGCCTCCCAAGTGCTGGGACTGCAGATGTGCACCCCCAACCTGACTCAGCTGAAGCCTGCTCTCTGCTTTCTGGCCGCCATGAGGTGAGCAGCCTTCCTCCTCCAGGCCCTCCCGCCATGACGTTCCACTGAGCCCACCGGAGCTGTGAACCAAATTAAACCTCTCTTCCTTTAAACCGGACCCTGGCCATTCTGTGACTAATGCACAAGAATCTTATAAATAAGAACCATGCCTTCCTTCTTTTCCTCCTGGATCACAACTGTTCTCTCAAGGCAACACAGGCCCAAGGGTATGATCTGCAGGCCCGTTTCCCTCCCCTAGAGACAGCAGGCTCCCTTCTCACCCCCACATCTTCTTCTTGTATTTGTCTGCCAACTTCAGGAGAACTTCCAGGTAAGAGTTCCTGCCTGCTGCTCCTATGGACAGAGACACAGGGTGTGAGAGGTGATGGGGTCCCTCAGGAAGGGTGCCTGGCGTGCAGTGGCCCCAGCTCACCGGTGTCCAGGATGTGGGGCAGCACAGCCACCACACACAGCTGGTGCTCCTCGCAGGTCTTCCTGGCCACATCCTCACTGATTATCTGTGGGGAGCGGGGAGGGGGTGGTTGGAAGGCTGCAGACACAACGAATCCTAGGCTTAGCTCCACATTCCTGAGACAGAGTGGGAGAGACACAGGCCTGCACCCAGAAGCCCTGACAGCGAGTCCCTAAGACCAGACTCCCGTACTTTATCCCTCTCCAAGACCAGACTCCTGTCCTTTATTCCTCAGCCCCGTGCCCATGGACAGTCCCCGAAGTAGCTGTGTCTCTCACAGCCTGGCCTCTCACTTGCTCACGTGGTCATACTGCATGTGCTAGACGTCCACACAAGCTCAGGGCTCCCTATACCTCAGTTTCCTCATGAGTAAAACTACCCACACTGCAGTGTCCGTGTGAGATTTTTTTTTTTTAAGACAGGGTCTCACTGTGTAGTTCAGGCTGGCCTTGAACTCCTCCTCCTGCCTCAGCCTCCTGAGTGCTGGGATAACAGGTGTGCACTACCACACCCAGTCCCTGTGAGAATGTGAGGAAAACCTGCATGAAAGCACCAGAGCAGTGCACCTCCTGTGATCAGGTGCTCTGCAAGTCTGCTGTTGTTGAGCACACACCTGAATGTGGGCAGAGTGCGCTCTATTTTTTAGAAACTTAGTAAAACTAGGAGCGGTGGCACAGTACTGAACCCCAGTACTCTGGAGACTGAGTCAGGAGGGTCGCAAGTTTGAGGCCAGCCTGAGCTACATGGCAGGACCCTGCCTCAAAACACCAGAGGAGAGCCTGACCAGAACACACAAGGATGTCACCTCCTGCTTTAGGCCCCCGCTCCAGCCGGACGAGGCCTACCTCCAGCAGCTCCGGGGGTGGGGCGTTGTCAGAGAACAAGTCCAGGGCCCGGGAGAGGATGTCGGACCGTGTCCGCCCGCCGTCATAGTCCACAGGGGCCTCGCCCCGCTGAAAGATCTTGATGGTGGGAAATCCCCTGATCTGGTGACAGAGCGCAAGGTTACGTGAACATACCACAGGAAGTCACTCTGAGCCTAAGCCACCAGAGGAGACACCACGCGACAAAGCCCACCCTGCGGCCCATCCGGGGCATGCGGCCCTCCAGCTGCGCCAGGCCCTGGGGTCTAATGACACAGCCAAGCGCCGTAACCAAGGCCGGCTAACGGAGTCCGCGGGGCAACTCACACAAGTTGGGACAGTGCAGCTTCCAGGTATCGACCCCGTCTCTAGAGCCGTGACCATCAGGACCTAACGGCACTCACCCCGTAGCGTCCGGCCAGGACCTGGTTCACGGTGGCGTCTACGGCCGCTAACTTCACCCTGCCCTGCGTCTGCTCCTTCACCTCGGTGGCCGCGGCAGCCCACTCCGGCTCCAGGCTGGACAGGCGGGAAACGAGTGCGTTGCACCGGGACTGGGCCCCTGTGCGTGTCCCCGCCCAGCCATGTCCTCCGAGAGACCCTGAGGAGCGCCACGCAGGAGGGACGGCACGGTAGCGACGTCCACCTTCCAGACCCCGTCCGCCCCAGCCCGACACCAGACCGCCCCTGGGTGGCCACGGTGCCCGGAGGGAGCGCTTACTTTTTGCAGTGTCCACACCACGGGGCGTAGAACTCCACCATCCACACGTCTGGGCTGTCCAGCACATTCTCGTCGAAGGTGTCATCCGTCAGCTCGATCACGTCCTTCTTCCCTGAGCCCTCGCTCCTGCCCTGGCAGCAGACAGCAGGCATCAGAGCCGGCGGACACCGATGCCCAGTGTGTCCGTAGCCCACAGCCTCCTCCCCGTGGCCCCGTGAGCAGTGGCCTCCGCCGGCTGTCACGGTCAGGGCTGAGTCCACCACTGTGAATCGCGGGGGTAGGAGCCACCCCGCCTCACCTGCCTTCCCGAGCTGTGGCCCCCAGCACGGCCCCCCAGCCGGTCCTTCACCAGCTGCCGCACGGCACTGAGCGCGGAATCCACAATGGCCTCGGCGGTCCTGCCACCTGTGGGGACAGAGGGTGTTGCGGTCTGTCTGCGTCACCTGGGGGCGCTGGGGCTGACTCCCCAAAGGCCAGGCGCGGCTGTGCCCCCGTGACACCCGCGGGGGCCCTGCTGCTTGGCATCTGACTGTTACGGCAAAGCTGTCACAAAACTGTTCCAAAGCAGGAAAGCAGACGCGGACTGAGAAAGACAATCGATCATCTCCCAGTAGCCGGCACCTGGGCATTCAGCGGACAAATGACGCATCCCGGTCCGACTCCTCAGAAGCTGCCCCGGCAACACCGGCTCTGGACCCTGCACGTGCCGTTTCCGTCGCTCCTCTGTGTCTGACACAGGCGCATGCGCAGACCTGACCTGCCTGTCTGGGGCCACAGGCAGTGACCTGGCCGGCAGCCTGGAGCCGGAAGTCCCTCGCTCACAGCCGCCATGACTCCCGGCAGACACTCAAATGCACTCATCCAGGAAACGGGGGGTTTGGGGCACCCTCTGTCATCAGAGACATCAGAGAACAGTGAAGGTGAAATGCGAACAGCCGGGCATGACCATGCACACCTGCCATGCCAGCACCCTGAAGGCCGAGGCAGGAGGATTGCCTGGAGTTTGAGTGAGTCAGCCTGGGCACCATAGACCATAGAGAGACCCTGTCTCAAATAAAAAGTCACACACTGGGCTGGGGATTTAGCTCAGTGGTGCTGTGCCTGCCTTGCAAGTGCAAAGTGCTGAGTTCAACCCCCAGTATGGGGGGCGGTCACGTTTCTATGTATGTTTACAAGGCGTAAACCTCCAGGGGCAAATACCCTGGTGATGCAGACAGATGCTAATCACCGACTTTCAAAGCACACGTTCATCGTCTTTGCCCTTCAGATCTTCGCTGATGACTGGGCAGTCAATGACACTGCTGTGTTCTCTCCAAGGCCACATTAAAACGTCTCCACCTGCCGGTGCTTCAGTGTTCGGAACTAGGGCAGGTCTTATCTCTCATCTACAGATGAGGAAATTCAGGCACGAAAAGGCTAACGAGTTAACAGAATCCTAGGTTCTTGCCCAGTGTGGTGGTGCATGGCTGCCATCCCACCACTCCCGGAGGCTGAGGCAGGAGGATCCCAAGGTCCAGCCCAGCCCAGGTAAATTAACAAGAATCTGCTCAAAATAAAAAAAATTAAAGAACTGGTGGTGTAGCTCAGTGTGAAGGCCCTGGGTTCAGTCCCTAGGATGTTTAAAAGCAAACAGAACCCTAAGTTCTCACCTCTAGGAGCAGAGTAGTAGGGGAGTCCTTACCCTGATAATCTTCTGGTTTGTTTTTGTTGGCTCCGAAGATCTTGATGGTAGGGAAGCCCTGGACCCCGTACTGGCCGCCTAGGGACTGGTGTTTATCTGCATCGACGGCACCGACTTTCACGACATCCTGTGGGTAGAGAAAGCCACGACCTGTGTTCCCCCAGCTCCAGGACCCAGCACCCCCACTCCCCAGAGCCCAGAGGATGGTGCAGGAGACAGCAGGGAGCAGGGGCAGTGGACACTCCCGGCCCCTCCCACAGCCCCACGTGAGCCGAGCAGGGGCCGGCACTGACCTTCAGCGCGTTCGCTGCTTTCTTCCACTCGGGCGCCAGCCTCTGGCAGTGACCGCACCTGTGGGAGAAGACGGTGACAAGGGACAGCTGAAGCCCTCACCTCCACTGTGGTCCTCGATGCGAGACCTCTGCGGCCAGCAAGGGGATGAGAACTGGGAGTAGGACACAATCAGGCCGCAGCACGGGGGCCTCGCAAAACCTGGGGGACTGCAGAGGCCCAGGCCGTGGGCACTGGGTAAAAAGGACTGGGACGCGGCCTGGTACAAGCCCCGGGCTCACTCCCAGACTGCCTTAAACAAAACAAAATAAAAAACCCACCACAGAAGCACACAGCCCAAAGGGAAAAGCTCGAGACACCCCACAACAATGAACGTGAGCCCGGGTTTTAGCTCAGTGGTTCCCCTGCCTGCCTCGCAAGTGCAAGGACCAGAGTTCAATCCTTGGTTCAAAAACAAAAAAAACCCAAAACAAAAAACACCAAACCACAACTAGTGTGACAATGAACATGAGTGCCCACCTGGGTGTCAGGGGAGAGCGGACAGGAACACAAGGGATAAAACAAGTCTTGCAGGGACCGATATTTTTTAAAAAGTATTACAAAATACAATGCAGAGAAGCCCTTCAGAGCCTGTCACATTCCCGTGGCTCACAGAGGGCGCAAGCACAAGGCTCATTTTGCTGCTGCACAACACCCAGTTTTATTTTTTTTAATTTATTAAAAAAATTTTTTTTGTTTTTTGAGGCAGGGTCTCCCCATGTAGCCCATATTGGCCTTGTACTCACTGCAATCCTCCTGCCTCAGCCTCCTCGAGTGCTGGGTCACAGGCGTGCGCCACTGTGTGTGGCTTGTGATGCTGACTTATGCAGAGCACAGCAGCTCTGAGGGGAGCCCTGGGCACACCCTGTGACCGCCTTCAGGGGGTTTCCCCAGGGAGCCCGAGACTGGGGTGATGCCGTCCCCTTCTCTTCCACGACAACCGAGACTGAAGGGTGCCACACCGCGCCCATGGACCGCTGTCCGACGGGTTAGTGTTTATGTGGTCCCAGGACGGGACCAGGGTCCCCAGCCGAGTCGCCCGGGCCTCACTGTGGCCCAGCAGCTGTGACAGCCGGATGCCTGTGCGTGGGCATCGCATGAAAGCTCCGGCAGGCTTGGTGGCCTGCACACCGGAAGCCTGGGGTTTGTGGCAGGGTCTGTGCGATCTCAGGACAGGGAAGCAGCTGTGCTCTGTGCTCCCAGTCTGCCCTCACCAGGGTCACAGGAGTCCCCGCTCTCTGGAGCCCCTTCCCCACCCGCGCCGCCAGGGAAGCACCTTGTCTGGTCCTGCAGCTCTCAGAAAAATCGGTGAACCGCCCATGACTTAAAGCCAAACTTGTAGCTGGGCGTGGTGGTGCGCACCTGTAACCCCAGCACTCTGAACGCTGAGGCAGGAGGATCCCAAGTGTGAGCCCAGCCCGGGAAATTTAGTGACTCGGTGAGACTGTCTCAAAGTTAAAAAAAAAAAAAAAGGGCTGGCAACGTAGCTCAGTGCAAAGGCCCTGGATTCAACTTTTTCCGGGCGTGAGCTCAGGGAGCAGCTCAGCTTCCGGCCCACAGCGGGCTGTGCGCTCCTCTCCTCTTGGGACCTTGTGGCCGGCCGGTCTCACGCACACTTCCGCGGTTTCCGCCCAGCGGTCTCACTTGGGTTTCGGGCCGGGCTACACGCGGCCTCCCGGTCTCGCAGCAGGGGTGCGATCGCTCCCTCCGCCTGCACTCTGCTCTCCAGCCTGCGTCACCCCCCCGGCCCCCCCGGCCTCCGACACTCACCAGGGCGCGTAGAACTCCACCAGCCACAGACTGTCGCTCTGGATGACCTCTCTTGCGTGGGGCGTGGGGCGTGGGCTCCCTCCCCTGAGCAGTTCTCTTGGGACTGCCCCTGTGTGAGGACAGCCCCGGGGAACTGGAAGGTAGGTCACCTGCAGCGGTGACCCTGGGCCAGCCGCACGGCATTCAGGATCCAGCGACCCAGCACCCGTCATGTGGTGGCATCATGTGAACAGTGTTACAAAGGGTGGACACCAAGACCGGGCGTGGGGCGTGGGCTCCCTCCCCTGAGCAGTTCTCTTGGGACTGCCCCTGTGTGAGGACAGCCCCGGGGAACTGGAAGGTAGGTCACCTGCAGCGGTGACCCTGGGCCAGCCGCACGGCATTCAGGATCCAGCGACCCAGCACCCGTCATGTGGTGGCATCATGTGAACAGTGTTACAAAGGGTGGACACCAAGACCCTGACGTTAGGTAACATGAATGAGACGCGTGGTTTCTCCAGGCAGGAAACCAAAAGTGAAAATAAAGAGCAAGATAAAGGTTAAATAATAGGAAGGAGGGAACAGGGCGGTTGGGAGAGGACTGAGGTGCGTTATGTCCATACACCACTTCCTCAGGAGGAACGGGGTCACTGTCAACTGCAAACACTGGACTAATAAAATCAAATCAAGAAACAAGGGAAAAACAGGCCGGGGTGGTGACCGCCTGTGGATGGCAGACTTGGGAGGGTCGCATGAGTTCCGAGGCCAGCGTGGCTACACGGTGAGACCTTGCCTCTAAGCAAAATAAGATAAAATAAAGGGAGGACACTGACCCGTGGTATCGCTAACAGCAGTTTAGCCACACTGAGGGTCAAGTACGTTTTTGTTGGCTACTCTGGGATTTTGGCAACTTGTACCGGGTAACAAATTCTGCATGTATTACTACTACATTAACGCTCAAAGGTGTTCTGAATTGGCAGTACTTTCAAGATTTCAGCACATTTATACTTAATAAAGTTTATTTTTCTTTTGGTTTTTTGAGACAGGTGCTATGTAGTCCAGGTTGGCCTCAAACTCATAGAGAGCCTCCTGCCTCAGCCTCTTGAGTACCAGGATTACAGGGGTGCACCACCACACCCAGCTAGTTTTATATATGAAATTGTATAACCTCTTTCTTTTAAACCATTGTTAAAGTGAATCAAAAGCAAGGCTGGCCTGTCTTCTAACAGTGTCTATGTGCATCTGAGCCATGTTTTCAAATGCTGACTTTTCTAAGCACAGCTTGGAAGACTTTAAATGGAACTTCCTGCAATAACTGAGCAGCCAACTTCTGGACGGGAAGTGCACCCATGTTAACTGCCATGTGGCCAAGTCCCCATGGGATGGCACTTTCCATCTGCAAATCATTTTCAAATGCATTATATCATTTGATTTTTTGCAGCATTACTAACTGGAAAGCAAGAATTCCTATCCTGTTAGTAAGGAAGCCAGAGCTGGGCCCTGGGGCAGCACAAGGGCGAGCATGAGAGGGCCGACTGCGGGCTCCCTGTGAAGGTGGGGGAGCAGACACTAATGCAGCAGGAGACCAAGACACGGAGGAGTCTGGGCAGAAGGCCCGGAGAGGACGGGAGCCAGGGCAGCGACGGAGGACCTGTGTCAGGGTGACCCCTCAGTACTGTAAGAGGTGGGAGGCTGAGGCAGGAGGGTCACTGTGAGCTGGAGGCCAGCCTGAGCCACACAGTGAGACCGTCTTAAAAAATAAACAAACAGGGCCAGGGATGTAGCTCAGCGGTGCTGCGCCTGCCTTGCAAGTGCAAGGTCCTGAGTTTGATCCCCAGTACCAACCAACAAACAAACGTTGGGAAAGGATGGAGGTGCCACCCAAAAGAGCAGCGACACATGGCCACCTGAGAGATGTGCCCTCGGTGTGACCGAATTTCGAAGACCTTGCGGGACAGAACATGATCCCCTCAGTCCTTTCCATGCTGATTATTTCCGGGATGCTCTTGCACCTCCTGGTAAATGTCAGCCAGGGCCACTTCATCACTGGACCCATTCTGAGAAAGCCGCGCGTAGACACCGTCAGCCTTGCAGGGACACTGCTCGGTGAGGTCACACGCATATGTTGCTGACGGGAAATGCTGCTGTGCGGTGTGCGACGGCATGAAGCTTAATTTTAACAGTTTGCCTTTGCCTTTTTTTCTTTTCGGTATCGGGGATTGAACTCGGAACCACTGAGATACATCCCTGGTCCTCCCTTGATTTTTAAAATGTGGTTATTAGAAAATTACTTCATATTAAAAATATATTAAAAAATTACTTCACACATAAAGTTTTCACCACACTTCTATTGGACTGAGCTGCTCAATTACTTTTGCTGCAGTAAGGTGAAGCACAGTAATCTGAGCCAGGTGGGGTGTGCAGGACTGTAACCCCAGCACTCTGGGAGGCTGAGGCAGGAGGATCCCAAGCCTGGCCAACTTAACAAGACCCTGTCTCAAAAGAAAAAACAAGAAAAGGGATTGTAGCTCAATGTGAAGACCAAAACAACAACGACAACAACAAAAACCCAGCCAAGCAGGACCAAAGCGGAGCTGTCCTAACTGTGTGAGCCTGAAAGTAGAGATGCTCTGGGAACCCTCTTTGACACTTGCTATTTTTCAGTTTATCTTTTTTTTTGGTCAACTTGCTATGAACTAATACTGATACTTGCTCAGCACACTGAGTCTATTGTGAAAATGTCCAAAATGGGCATCTTCCATGTAAGTGACGATGGGCTATTTCCTTCCTGTTCCAGATGGTGGAGCTGGGCTGCTAAATCTCCGCGAGATTTTCTAAGGGGGATCAGGGAGTGTGGCTAACGTCCGAGAGAGCTGTTCAGTTACCCTTTAGACAGCACAGCAACACATAAGATCTCTACATGGTAGAGGAGGTGGTGCACACCTATCATCCCAGCAACTGGGAGGCTGAGGCAGGAGGATCGCTACAGTTGGAGGCCCGGACCACACCCCCCTTCATGATGACACCCGGTAATGGACCATAATTTTGCACGTCGGGAGGGTACAGACTACCGTACAGGGTTACCGACAGGGTAACACAGACTTTGGTCATTTTTTCCTCTGGTAACACTAATGGGCTTTTCTGTGTGTGGGGGGCAGGCAGAGACGATCTCTCTTCGTAAAGCTCAAACTGATCAAACTATGTAGCCCAAGCTGGTCTGGAACTCGCAGTGATCCTCCTGCCTCAGCTTTCTGAGCGCGGGGGTTGTGGGCGTGCCGCACCACGCCTGGCCAGGTGACGGACTTCTGTTTGCCTTCGAATCCTGCCCAGCTCTCTCCGGAACCTCCCTCCTTACACTCGGCCACAAATGGAAACCCTCCAGATTGTTTCTCACCTCAACTTGAAAGGAAACGCGACTCCGCAGGGTTAGAAAGAAATCAAAAGAGCTTCCGGTCAGAGGCGTGGGAATTCTGACAGCTAGAAGCGGCCAAGCAGCGGCCCCGAACTCGGGCTCCGTGAGGATGACGAACGAGGCCGGCGCTGACCAGCTCGTCCCGCTGCTAAAATTCCCAGGGCCCGTGGCCTCGGGAGCCGGCACCTCGTGGAAAGGGGCCGAGCGGGCGGCGGGCGCTGCGTTACACTGGGCGGGTCAGGAACAGCACCGAGCCCCTGGGCGCGCGTACGAACTCACACCCTTCGGGAGCTGCAGGACCAGGCCCTGCTACTTCGGGCGGTCTGTCTGGAGGTCCCGCGGATGGAACCCGGGCCTTCCCACCGGGCAGCCCTTTCGTGCCCGGAGACGGGGCCTCGCTAAATTGCCTAGTTGCTCAGGCTGGGTTGGAACTTGGCGACCCTCCTGCCTCAGCCTCCCGGTGCTGAGATCACAGGCGCCCCCCCCC